AACACCGAAGCGATAATATTATAAAATATCAAAAACAACATTAGTATAATAATATACATATATTTATTTACATATGACATATAGTTATTAATAATGTTTAAAACGGTATTTAACTTAATCTAGCCATCAAAACCTATGATTTTTTATCACGATAAAAATACGTGGTTTTATTGGAAAAATATATGATTTGATTATTAACCAAATACACTATGCAGAATAAATAATTGTTTGATTGTGTTTCATAAGTACATCAAAGGTGGAAGTCTGTCGGTGATTCCGTCACTGATGGAAGTAGTCTTGACGATAACACAGCAAGCCCCTTCAGAAGGACTGGTTGCGAACACCAGTTCATCGATACGTCTATCGCATGTCTCTCTAGTCGAGAAGTACTGATCTCTTACAGATTTCACGAATCTTTCGGTGTCATCTGACGGCACCATAACCACGACGCATCCTCCCCAACTGGAACGTAACAAAAAGTAAATGTAAATTATTTTAATTATTCAAATTTTGAACACAAATTATAATATTACTGTTTGTGTGCAGTAACTGCAGTAGTTCGAAACATGTATATCGGGATAATGTTACTGTAGTTCTTATGAGGTTAAACTAGGTTTAATAAATAATTAAATAAATAAATGTATATATACRYATATATATATATATATATTATATATWATATATAGTTTTTGAACATAATATATGATAARTAATCTGAATGAATTATATATCACGCAAGTATTCAAAAATAGATTTTTAACTGAAACCAGCTTTTATAAATTTTTTTTTGTTATGAACTTATACACCTCAATTACAAAGGTAATTGTCGTTTATAAATATTATTATTGATTACAATTAAAGTTTTGTGTATAATAGTTTAAGTATGATAAATGAATATTTTAAGTTATTTTAATAATACATGCGATACAATGTCTATGTGTATTAATCACATTTTTAGGTTCGTCTCTCTGAGGGGTCGAAAAAGAATCGGTGTCATCCTCTGGGCTATAAATTGTTTTATCCACGAATTTATTGAGTAATTAATAAACAAATACAATATAATTATATAATACCCGGCACCGGTGAGCTTGCATCCGTATGCGCCTTCCCGTTTGCATAGTGCCACCAACTCCTCCAGATCCGGATGACTGCATTGATAAAGGTCTCGCAGTGACGAATGACTGTCATTCATCAATCTCCCGAGGTCTGACGCTGCTCCGGAGTTCTCACACAGCTTGCAAAACTCTTCCACCCGCTTTGCCTCTGTAAGAAAAGACAAATCGTTAGTAAAAACTAAGTTTGTAATAATAAAATATCTATTTGATGAGTTAGGTTATATTGGATGTATATTATGTGCTCTGCTTTAACTTTTTTTTTTACTAAAAATATTATAAATATGTATTAATAATACATTTGTAAATTAAGAGCAATTCCAATTAAATATTTTTCAAAGTTACGTCCATTGTAATAACTTTCAATCTTTTTAATGCGTGTAATATTGTTTTCATTATTTTGATGGTATGTTTTGGTCATGTATACTCATTACTCAATATGATCTTTATAAGTAACTATTTGATAAAACCTATAAGCATATTTATAGATCAGACAAAAAATCTATCATACTGATCTACCTAGTAATGTGAAAATGTTTTTTTAAATTTGAATTTGAATCCTCAATACAACTATAAATTTGGCTTGAATATTTCGAAATTTCGGAATTTAAATCTGAAATCATAAAATGTAGTCTGACCGATATCAAGTAGACATTATAATGAATTCATATCAGTTGTTATCAGTTGTTAACCCGATCCGTAGGATGGAMAAAATATATATACAAATTAGCATAAATTGTTTGTCATTCACACGAGCAACGCTAAGACGGTGACTTGTATATGTGCGTTATAATGTTCCATAAACACATTTACACAATACCTTCATGCTAGCAAGTAGCAATTGAAAAATTGCTTAATTTGAATTCTTTAAAAACTGTCTACAACTGATCCCCTTAACGATAAATTCAATTCACGTGTTCAACATTTTGAGTGCATTTCTGGCATACATAATTAGTAATTACTTTTTGAGAATTACAACGGTCGCTATAGGTTAACCCATATTTCATAAGGTCCATCACCACCGTCGGCTATATATAAATAAAATATTTCAAATCGCCACCTTCGAACACGTGCAGAGCTCTCTGGTGCAAGTAAAATTTGGCAACTTTGGTCGTGTTGGCCGTCAAACTGAGCTCGTCGAGTCGGTCTTCGGACACCGACAAGATTTCACACACCTATGCAATAATATATTTTTTTAAAGAAACACAATCGTTAAAGTTATAAATTCGCACGTAGACGCTTCATTCGGTATAATTTATATCGACCAACTGTCGTCGTACCTCTGACTTGGAATACCCATCGACGTGTAAGTGCTGGTGGACTAAATCGRTCATTTGGTCTARCGTGTTGCCTGAACGCTTCTGCAGCGTCGCGAGTGCAGTCATCTGTTCCCATTCGAGATTCAATTTCTTGGCGATAATCTGAAACCCACGACCACGATTAATTATTTATCAAATTATGACGAAAACAATTGTTAAAATATTATGTAATTCATAATTACATAGCAATAAAATATATGTWCATACTATATATTTAAAATTATCAACAGAAATATATCGTTAAGAGTATCGATCTGCGTATACGCATGCTTTTTAAAAACGTATACGATTAGCAACATCAGGTATTGGGTTATAACTTATTGGTTTTACCAGATCTGCTTGCCATTTTGTTTTTGAAAAACCCAAATGT